TGCACAGTAATGCCTGTCTATCTAGGCAGAAATGACAGCAACCCTGGTAACTGTCACCAGAACATTGTGGATTGAAGCAGGAATGAAGATCCCACGCTCTGGGCTATTGCTTGCAATGGCACTATGGCCAATAAAACAAATTGGGACAAGAAAGATTGAGTGCTTTGTTTGATCAAATTACAAAAAAAAAAAATAATAGCTGAAGGGAACACAGGAGATGCAATATCTTGACTTCCATCAAATAGTGCCTCACAAAATCACTAAAATGCTTGAACCAAATTGGTTTGGACAGAAGCACTGTCGGATGGTTTGGAAGTTAACTGGAAATCAGAAGCAGTGAACAACGTTGGGAAGTGGTGTTTTGAACAAGAGCATTATTTGTAAGCGTGCTCCCACAAGGATCAACATTAGACTCCATTTTACACAACACTGCTGTGGAAGGATCTGGAAAAACAAATAAGTAACACAATAAATTTCTGAATAGTAACTGCACAGAACAAAGAGGAGCCAGTTGGAATTGAAAGTATGACCACACAGCCAGTAACACAACAAACCTATACTATTTTAACAAGTATGAAAACATTATGGCAAGAAAAATAGTGGGAAAGCAGTAAAAGCAAGAGATGCCTTGTCATTTGGCCAGCAGAGTAGCAGAACCGTGACTAAGGCCATATGTTTTCCAAACACGTTGCCATTCTCCTGAGCAGAGTAGATCAGATCACAGGGGACATGACAGCTACCTATGACATGTACCATCATTTGTTAAGAGCTGGCCATCTGAGGACTAGACACCTCTCAGTAAAGCTGAAAAGGTTTAAAGAAAGGTGTCTATATTTATTACATGCCAGGAGATTTTTGTTGTTAATTAGCAAGTGATTTTCCCTGAGCAGCAAGGAAGATGGAATGCAACAAAAGCTGACACTTACAAACGTTAGCAAGAAACAGATGGTCCTGCTCTCAGTCAGGGAGATGAGGCTACAGATTTGGTCTCTTGAAATGTAAACACTATCCCCTTTCTTTTGTGTTATTACTCTGGAAATAAAGTTCCCATACTATAATATAGTCAGGCATTGTGCTCAGGCTGACACTACTGCTCTCAAAATTCACCTTCTGTCAAGTCTGTAGCTGAAAAACACAAGTTTTTCCTTTGATTTCTGTCTGCTGTCAGCATACCTCAGGTGTTACACATATCAGAGGAATCTTCATTAACAGCCTATGATCTGCTTTGCACAGTCAGTGTCATGGCTGATTAAGTTGCTAGATAAAACACACTGAGTTTCAGGTCCTAATTCTTTTTATCAACTCTAAAAAAACACTCCACATGATAAAATAACAAGTCTTACTGTTAATCTTCAGTAGCACTTAAAAAGTCTCAGATGCACAAATTAGAGAGATTCACATCTCCTGCTAAAATGTAATGGTCCAGGTGCATCAAAACACTCTGCAACCTCTCCCTGGCAGGGTTTGGCTGCTCAGGGCCTACTCTGACCTGGCAGAGTGATCCCCTGGGATCCAGCTGCTGGGAAGAGCCACATGGGGGAAAGACACGGGAGAGGTCTGGGCTGAGGCCTCTCGCCCTTGGTTTGGGAGGTCACTGCTCTGCCAGACTCAGCATCACCCTTGGTTCCCCAGCTCACGTGCCCTTGCAGAGCACTCCAACCTCTCTGCTCCCTGACATCTGACTTGTTTACCCACTCCTGGGGTAGAGCACCTGGTATTCAAAGTGATTAACAGGACCTAAGTAACCTCCACTCCTTTGTAACTGAAGTACATCACTGCTAAAACAAACTATTCCCAAACCCTGCTCTACAACCAACACTGACCCTCAGGCCATCATTAGTGGTTGAACATGGGCAGGAGACAGTCAAGGCAATGAGTGAGAACAGTGAGAGCTGTGGTGGATGATACTGCTGACATTCTGGGCAGGCTGCTTGCCTCACACCCTCCCAACTCTCATCCTGACTGGTCTCTACACACCACAAAGCAGCAGCCTAGTGATATTTTGCTCCCAAACCCATGAAAGCTGGAATTGCCAAGAATCTGCTGCTCCCAAAATACAAGCCATGCAATGCAAGAATGGCCCATTCTCATGGATGCTCTGCAAAAGAAGGAAAAAGAGGAAAAAGGCCCTTCAGGTCAGCACTGCTGAGCTACACCGAGATACATCTCAACATCAGTTATGACTGCGTGGCTCATAAGTGACACAGTGACAAGACTCCACTTGCTTTGCTCTTTTCAATGGGGAGGGCATGGGGGACATTAACCAACGAGAGAGGAACTACATCCAGGCACGTTACAAAAACAGGGTGAAACATTGAAGTCATCAGACTTTGCTCCAATCCTATAACAGCATAACTGGCTAAAGTGAAAAACCCCAGTCTCAGGATCAACAGCACTATGTCCAACTGCTGCCACTGCTAACACCTGAGACAGATATTAAACTCAATGCTATTTAAAACCCTTTCTTAAATTACCTACACAATATTCTTCACAAGTCTGCAGACAACACCAAATCAAGACTAGTGCTTGAAATTCTGATCAGATATTTGCATGGTTCTTATTTTATTTTTTCCACCATGCAGGTGATCAAACACCAGTACAGGGGCCAAGTGGGTGGAGAAGCTTTATCCTTGGAGATATCTAAAATTCGACTGGATGGGGCCTGTGCTTTTGTATTCTCTCTATGCAGTATTACTACAATGGGTTATGGAAGCCTGGACATTCAGACTACCACCCTATCTTCAGACTGCTTTTTTGTTGAAGTATCTAGCTTCTCACACAAACTAAGATGGATTTTATTCAACACTAAGATGCAATGAACAGACTGTCTAACAGCTACAGACACTCTCAAGCCATGTTGCCTCTCCTGGATGGCAATTGTTACAGTGGCATTTCGGGTTCAGTAGCCAATTTCAGGGCAAATTATGCAAACTATACAGGTTCTCCTCAGAATGAGGTACAAACCTTAGGTCAGCTACTTCACAGATTAAAAAGAAAAATAATTCACAATAAAACTCCTGATGGGCAGTGTGACTAATTACCTATCTAACCAAAAGCACATTTCCTCCCCTCCCCATGTGTCCTGAGCTCTGTAGAGATTGTCTGCCCATGGGTTTTGTGAGCAGAGCAATTCTCAGCCTGCCGTTCTTTGCACACACTCGCTGGCACTGCTGTGATAAATTGTTGCCTGTAGATGCACTGAATGTGCAGGAATAAAAAAAGGATCCTGTACTTATGGTAATACTGCTAGAAAAGAAAGAGCAAAGATGTTCATTTTAGCCATAGTGCAATAAGTAATGAAGGAATAAATTAGAGTTGATTAAATTGTTGACGCTTATAATTTAGGAATCTTCTTGCTCAGCAGTAGATGTTTTCCTCCCATAGCTATTTGTGATGTGTGGGTGGAGCAGAGGTAGAGGGTGATATATTTGCAGCTGTATTTGGATAGCATGGGTTTGCAACCATTCAGTATTCTGAGATCTGAAAGCTGTTGACCTTGCCAGCAAACAGCAATTAGAAGTTCAGTAGGATTTGACTGTCCTAAAGCCTTGCTTTAAGGAAGCCTTCAGCTTATCGACATGATACAAGCTTTCAGAATAAATATGGAAGGATCTCCTTGCTTATCAAGTACATAGCAGCATTATACTTACTGCAGCCTGAGACCTGCAGAGCATTTTTCTGGTTAGTTGGCACTTTTCTTTATAAGCAGTTGTGCTACTAATGATTCTATTAAGCAAATAATGTTGAAAAGCATGCAGGAAATCTATTCTATATAATAATGGACTGCTTCTCCTTAAGAATGAGGTTCTGTGGAACTACAGAACATAAACCTTCCTTTTTTTATAGAAAAATACCATGCTTTTCAGGATATTAAGGCTTAAGTAGTTATCAGAAAAACAGGACTCAACTAATTACAGCCCTGTGTTCTTTCAGCACAGCACTGAAGTGCATCAATTCAAAAGAAATTAAAGCTGCAGCCCCTAAATGTCTCTGCAGAGTTTTGTAGCTCGTGTTTTAGCGTTGTTTTGCCTTGTGAGGAAGCACAGGGCACCTGAACAACACTCCCATGGATCCCTACACATCACACAAACCATGAGGTCCTGCAGAAGGGAAACCACAACAACCCGTCCACTGAACACTGAGCCCTCTGTGAGGCTTCAGCGTAAGCATAACCCAATTGTAACACACACCAGGACCAGGATCACCACCCAGTACAGAGTCCAAAAGCAAAGTAACACCACCACTCCCTCCCAAGTTCTTCCTGCCATGGTTTATTAGTTATCTGGGATGTTCAGGGCTCTCTGTTGTTACAGCCCTGACTCCCGTGGTAATTACAGGAACTCCCACAAACACAACAGGAGTCTCCTAAAGCAGGGAGTGCTGAGAGCACAAAAAGCCCATTTCTCCACAGTGCCTTCTCTTTCAGCTGCAGAGATGGACCTCCCTATACAACTCAGAAAGTCTCACTAATTTTTTCAATGGAAAGAAGCCTTCTTGAAACACCACTCCTGTTTTTTTAACCATCCTTTGTGCTAACCAACACCTGTCCCCCGGCAGCCTGCAATGTTTTCTACTGACACACAAAAAGCTGTTGACCTGGCCAGCAATTACAGATTCACTGGGAACAAGATGTCTTTAAACTTTGCTCTAACGCAGCCCACCTAAGCCTGGGATCAAGTACACAGAAAATCAAAGGTTCAGGTCCCTTCTTGCCAGAGGGAACTCAAGCACACGCTGCTTCAAGGAGGATTCTCCAGCAACAAGCTACTTGAGGCAAAGAAGAGCATTGCTTGCACTCATACAGATTAGGCAGATCTCCTCCATGTTGAGTAGTTACACACTCACTCACCAGAGAGGAGCACAGTACCCAAAGTACACTAGCAGAGGAAAACAACTTGCAGTCCTTCCTTCCAATTTATTACTATTTTATACAGAACAGGATTCCAAGTTTCTCCCTCTCCCAATGTCTCCAAATCTCAAAGTGAAAACATCATACTCACTCTCTCTTCTCTCAGCAGCCAATCTGTTCCTTTCTCCAAAGGGAATGTGGTCTAGCAGTTAGAACACTTACTCAGATAGGTCAATTATTCCTAAATAAAGGAAAAAAAAAAACATTAGTCCTCCCATAATACCATTTTCCCTTTCTATAGGGCAGCAGAGAGCCTACACAGGCCCTGACAAATACCTACTAGATCAGCAGCCCCACTAAAAACAAGCACAGGGAGACCACAAGCCCATATAGAGGCTGGCCCGCCCAGCACAGGTGGGACTGACCTCTCTGTGACCCAAGCAGCAGAATTTAAGGCACCTGTGGCACCTCAGTAGCAAAACCCAAGTACACCTGAAGACACGGACTTTGCCAGGGCTATTAAAGTTATAAGCATTTTAGCTTTGGACTTCCAAAAGTAGTAGCTTGTCTCATAACTGCCTTCTTGAGGATCTAAGCCCAAGTAAATTCAGAAAGAAGGGAATAAGCCTTTGCTGGACATCATTGCCTCCCTTCAATTTTAAGTATTATTCATTTAGGGCTTGATATAAATGTGGGTGAAAGCCCAGATCCTCAAGGAATAACCATCATTAGCCTTGTCCTGTATGTAGTAACCTTGACAACTTTACACCACCAATCACAGATGATGGATTAATGAAGACTGATTTGAACCAGCTGCACTCTGTCAGAGTCTTTGCTCTGATCTTCACACTGCCATAACTTTCCCTTTTAACTGATTCTGCCAGGTGTGAGGCTGTTAAGACAGCAAAGCACTCTACCTCCCTTCTGCAATTCAAAAAAAAACAAAACAAAACAAACCAACCAAAAAAAACCACACCAATTTTCACCACTAAGATATTTTTTTACAGTAGTGAGCAGACTGACATGACCCAGCTTCTGTCAAATGCTTGTGTGTGCACATGTAGTTGAGGCTTCAAAACTGACCCAAAATTTTGTGCTCAGCAGACCAGGCAAAAAAAGGAGAGGCTTATACCACAAACAAACTCACAACCACAGAAGATTATTGATATGTTTCCCAGCTCTTTCTGAAGACCATACAGAAAAATATTATTATAATATTACAAATATTATAATATTACAGAAGCAAAACTATAACAGCTACTAAAACAACCTTAGTAAGACATAACCAGCATTATACAACAAGAGAACATATAGTAAGGCTGCTCCTTTCAAATGCTGCAGTAGAAGAAGCCAGCCTGAAACATGCAGTCCTGGCAATGCCAGAGCTATAAAGGGACATGGGAAAGCTCTTCAGAAAAGAACATCATTAAATGATGGCCTTTACTGGGTGACTGAATGAAGGTGCACCACTGATCACAAGGGTCAGCTCTTCCCTTTGTGACCCAGGAAGGGATCAGAGTGGAAAGAAAAGGGAATTCACATACAACCCAACATCCATTCCCTCTGATGCAGAAGATGGGATGTGTACAGTCTCTTCTAGCACATTAGTGTGCCCACCCTGCTTCTTTCTTGCCTCATTTGACTGGAGGAAAAACAGTTCAGTGGCTGCCATCATCATCCAAGTCTTCATGACAACCTTTTGAACCAACCCATCATGGGAGAAACATCTGCAGTTCAATCCTCTCTAATATTTATGTGAGGCTTACTGCAGGAATTGATTACATGCAGGTCATGTTTTGGATATTAACTTCTCAGCCATAAAAGAGCAGAGACATTTTAATTTAAACAAGAGTTTTGCTTTTAGGACACAAAATAGTAGTTTCCAGGAAGAAAAAGAAAGAAGGAAAGAAAGAAGTTTTAAAAAAGACTTTGCCAAGCCTGCACTGTGTTCCAGCTTGATCTTTGGGTCTAGTGCTGAAAGCCAACGCCTGAGCAAATGCTAGAATCCCAGCAGCCATATGAATCCAGACAAGTCACTTAATCATGCTGTGTCTCCATCTTCTCATAGGAGTAGCACACAGCTTCTTCACTGGGGTAATGCAAAGCTGATTTCATTACTATTCACAAAGTGCTTTCTGCCCAGCAGAGGAAAGTATTACGGAAATGCTAAAAATCTCTACTGCTGAGCTTCTCTTCTAAGCCAGCTCTTTTCATAAGTTATGTCCTACCAAGCATGTAAAAATTTCTTAGAACCTTCTTAATCAAGAAAGCAAACATACACTCATTTGCCAAATGCAGGCTTGTAATTATGTGGAAATGAGGCAGAAACAGCACATACATGCATTAACATTGACATGATCAAGAGATAACAGCACCATTAATATAACCTCTTAGAAATGACAGTTTTCAGCCCAACAGTTGGAAAATCACAAGTGGGGCTCATTAAACATTTTCTTTTTTAAATGACTTAAACAAAGAGGAAAATGCTGCAGTAACTCAAGGGAGGGAAAGGAGCAGCGGTGCTTAAATGCACCAAACACATTCTAAGATGTCCATCCAAATGGACCTATGGACCCAGGTACCCAGAGCAGACATTCAGTGGACTACTGGATAGCTGTAAATAGCCAGCTGACCTTGTACGAGCTTCTTCACCTGCTTCAGACAGAAAAAATCTGACAGTAAAGATAAAAAAGCACATGCTGCCCATTAATGGACACTATCACCAAGGAATGGTATGGGATCAGGAAAGCAAGCAGCAGAACTGGGCACAGGAACAGAGAAGTCCATAAAACACTTGCCACTGCGACACAGGTTACCTGAAGGAAAGCACTGGGGAAACCCCTGAATCTGTGTTGGATTTCATTGAAAAGTCAGAGTAAAATATATTCCACTGTCAACCTGTAACATTGAAGATGTTCCTACTCCTACCAAAGCATGGACACATAAAGAAGTTCATAACATGAGGCCATATCCTGAATTAGTTTCTTTTTCTTCTTTTTGTGTTTTTTGGTTTGGTTTGGTTAGGTTGGGGGTTTTTTTAATTAAAACAGGTCTATCTTTCCAATTTTCATTTTTCAGCATCAAAAGTCAGCATTCTAACTCCTGTTATTTTCAACTATGTTGACATTGGGAAATACAGAAACAATCCCATTGTTGCTTCTTTACTTCCAAGCTCCATGAAAAACAGCCTGACACATACTGCCCCAGAGGCAAATGATTTTGCCATGCATACTGTCAAATCAAATGCCTTGGAGTCATTTCAGCTGCTGCAGATGGTAAAACAATTTTTCCTTATAATTAACCAGAATTTCCTAAGTTTCTACTTGCACCAATTGCCTCTCGAGTGGTCCCTGTGCACCTGTGAGAACAGTTTGGTTCTGTCTCCTCCCTGTTCTCCAGTCAGCCAGCTGCAGATAGTAATAACTGAACCCTCCCTTCCTATAAATATTTTAGTTAGCAAACAGTTGTAAGACTTCCAGTGCTTTTTAAACTATCTGAACCTATATGAAAGAGGGTGGTTTTGACATTGTTTTGGTTGCTGTTGTAAACACAGGTTCTCTTCCAAAAGCAATATATTTAGTAGATCTTTGTCCGTGTGACATGAAAGACAAAGGAGTTTCATCTTACCAATGGTTAAGATTGGATTAGGTTAAACAAATGCAAAGCACTTGGATCATTTTCTAAAACAAATTAAGGATCCAATAAACCTTATTAGATCTGGGAAAGACAGGATATTTCTCTACACTAAAAGCTGTATTGCTTCTTTTGGGTGATATTGGTACAGATCAGGTGCTCAGCATTTGTATCAGCACCTTCCAATATATTGAAAGTTCCAACATGTTGTAAAGCAAAGCTTTAATTACCTTCTTGGCATTTTACCGTTGTTGATCTGCCACATGTATTGCTGTATTAAGTCACCAAACAGAGACGTGGCATGGGCAAACAATACTGATGAGGAGTTCTAGCAAAAAAAAAATCACCTTAGTTACATTAATAAGCTTCCCCTATAAGGCAAACTCAGCTCAAGCCGCTGCAGTGTTAATTTCTAATTTGTTTGGAATCTGTTTTGATTTTCTGTCTCCTGTTAAATATAATTCTCTTCTGGGCTCTGTTTTATACATTGATTTTTTAATTGCATGCATATTACGTTGGGACCCAAATCCACAGTTGTCTAATTCAGGTTACACAGAAAAATTTAGACAAATAATCCCAATTTTTTTTAATTAGAGAAACACTTTACCTCTTTGAAAAAGGATGGGACTCAGAGTAGTTACAGCAGCATTTGTTCCCACAGTCAAGGATATACATCAGGAAGCAATGGACTGTTGACTTTTTAAGAGTATACTAAAAAAAGACTTCTCTCTGGACTGTACTTTGTATTGAAGAAACTCATAGTTTAATGAAGTGAAACTATTATTTTAAGTAGCTGTGCCCCAGAGTAGCCATCAGTGCTGCACTGAGAATACAGAGCATCTCCTAAAAATCTCTGCTGCACAGGCCTCATCACTAATGCAGCACATGATGACTTTTTCCTCTTCTAAATAACCACAAGTGGGTCTGATATTTTTATTCCAACTATGGTAATTTTTACTGATTTTTATGGTTACAGGGTAAGTTTTAACATGTATTCATCTCAAAAATACTCGCAGAGAGCAGAAAGATCACTACCACAGCACAGACCTGGCTTCTGTTCCTGGCAAGTCATTTAGAGCTTTCTGGAAAGGGCAGGTGCAGAGAGAGGCAAAGTCTCCTGGCCCTGCTCTCAGCTCAGTTACCTGTGGCAGCACAGCACATACCCAACACAGCCCAGTTCTATCCTCTCTTAGGAGAAGCTCCTCCAGCTACCCTGGTCTTCAGCTGGGATGTAAGAAGGCAACAGCTCTGAAGATTACAATTCAAAATTACCTGGGCTTGAGACCATCCCATTTGTAAGGGGCAAATATTAATAACTACTTTTTGGTAGTTTGCCAGCTGAAGTCACTCAGAGCTTGTAGAAGTACTTGATGTGTATGAATAGCGAATGATACATAAATGTTGAGAACCATTCAAGTGGGTTTTGGTTTTAGGTGTTTTGTCTGTTTTACATAAAAGCCATTAAGAATTCTGACTAGCAGCTGACAATTTCTGCTGCTAGAAAATGCTGTTTCAAAGGCAATGAAATCTTTGTACCCTTCCTTCACCCCTTTTACCCACAAGGTGTGATACAACAGTTTTGATCCTCTCTTTCATTCAGTTCAAATA